TTTCCCCCCCCCCCCCCCCAAATAATGTATATTTTGCAGTGCTTAGAAAGTTAAAGAGCAACAAAATCTTCCACCTCACATGCTTTTGTAAGGAAAATGTTTATGATGCTTTACAATTCTAGTTTAGGTTTATTATTTACCTAAATAATATAAATATGTGTTCAGTGCTTTTATTTTATTTTATTTTATTTATTCAAACACACACAAAAAAAGACATTTTAATTTTAAGTATTCTATTTGTATTTTTAAGCTTGGCAGTCATTGTCACTGTACTGTTGTTGTATGGTAAAAGAGAATGTTCCACACAAAAAATATATTTTAATTTGAAACATTTATTTTAAGAATAAAAATAAATATTAAAAATGAATAAAAAATAATATCAAATAAAATAAACTGAGTTCCCCCCCCCCCCAATGCATCTCACCTGATGAATTTCTCAAACACTGCAGTGCATTCTGCTGTTTCTTGCAGCACTAGCGTGCTACTATTGTGGTTTCTCAGCATCTCCTCAAACACTCGGCTCTGCAGTGAAAGCACCAGCGTGTGGGCTTGGATAACCTTGACCTCATCCGCATCCACTGTTTCCACACGTAGGGAAATGTCACTGTTATTTCCCAGCACCAGAAGGCCCTCCAGCCGTGCCACCAGCCCATGTGAGTGACTGATCACTTCTGTGGTGCCTTCAACCAGTCCCTCTGCCCTCAAACCTGCAGAGTGAGGGGGAAGAAGTGTAATTATCCATTTCCAGTGACTAATCATCTACATTTAGTCTGATTTGTTGAATAGAAAGTGCTGTTGACTGTTGAGTGGAACTTGCTTCAAGAATTACTTAAAATACAATTACTTAATGTATTTCTCAAACAATGGGTGAGTAGTGGTAATCCATTATGTGCTTCATAAAGGCCTTGTTGACAAATAAGTATGTATTCTCTGCTTTGGCTCAGCGTTGAAACTCAATTTGCAACAATGTAGCAGGCATCATAACTTGACTGGTATTGGTTTTCTGAGTCTGATTATAGACATTTTGACCTTAAATACTACACACAGTTCGATGTGGCATTAATGGCTTGTAATGTTGACCTTGTTCCATATGTATTTTATAGATCAACTGTATAGAGCCCGGATGATCAAAATCTATAAATGGACTACATCTTTTAATTAAAAAAAAAGGTTAATGTTGGTAAATTTTTAAGCCACATTATTATATTATTTTGTGAAAGATCTCTCTTTTTTTATTATTGTTATAATTTTGTGAAATATTATAACAGTTTAAAATTTAAATGTTAAAAAAAATTTCTATTTGAAGATATTTTAAAATTTATTCCTGTGATGCAAAGCTGAATTTTCAGCATCATTTCTTCAGTTTTCAGCGTCACATGATCCTTCACAAAGCATTCTAATATGCTGATTTGGTGCTCAAGAAACATTTCTTATCAATGTTAAATACAGTTGTACTGCTTAATATTTTTGTGGAAATCATGATACCTTTTTGTCAGTATTATTTGATGAATAGAAAGCATTTAGCATTTATATGAAATATAGAAATCTTCTGTAATAAACTTTGAATCAATTGAATGCACCCTTGCTAAATAAAAGTACTTTAAAAAATGTAGTGACCCCAAACTTTTGAACAGTATACTGTACATAATTGTGATATACATACAATCACATAATAAATATATTTTATTATTAATGATACACAATTTCCTATAATTATAGATATAGATAATATTTCTTCTTCATTTTATGCCATTTTTTTCTTTTTCAGAATTTTCAGAACTTTATGTTTGCTAGTGTTTTATATAAAGTGCTATATAAATTAAGGTGACTTGACTTCTTTCTGCTAGATTCTGAATCATAGATTTACAATATAGTCTCTGGCTTTTGGACTCCTCTGTATATTGAAACAACATTTACATGTTACAATTTTACATTGTTAAAACTACACATATAGTAGAACTATCTTAACCTCCATTTTGCCCAGAAGGGAACAAGTGCTTTTAAACAGAATGTGTATTCATAATGGGCAAGTGAATCTGGACTCTCACGATCATCCAACCTAGTGCATTTGCTTGAACACTGGACTGGGTGTCATTGCAGAGTTCTCGGAAATGCCATGAGCCACTTGTGTGCATGCTTTTGTTTGCATTGGTGTGCGTGTGAACAAACCACTTATAGTGCCCTGGTTTCCTATTACTTGTTACCACATAAAGTACAAGCCGTTATGAATCATAAAACAGATCTGTAATGAAATACAACATAATAATAGAAATGAAAGAAAAGGCTCAATGGCTGATGAAACAGTTTTTTGTCATCAGATTCAAACAATATAATTGTCTTTTAAAACCAGACATGATTAGGTATGTCATTGTCTTTGATAGAAAATATGTGGGCATTATTTCTCATTCGAAAACATGCTTTTTGTATTAAAAAATCTTGATGAATTGAATTTCAACTGATATGTTAAAATCCATTGATCTCTTAACATGTATGTTTGCAAAGTGCAGACTTCACACTCCAGACTCGTTATTTTCTATCATCCAATAGATCAAACCCAGAGTTACAAAACCAATACCTCTGACACGATGTCCAAACGAAGCATCTATCATCTGGAAGAAAGCGCAAGAAAAGTCATCTTACCTCCATGGACAAGTTGCACATGAGACCCAGCAGCCAACAGCAAGAAGAGCAGGTAAATATGGGCAAGCAGCCCATTCCCCAACAAATAAGCCATCTTTTGTTGTCCGATAGCCGATTTGATCTCCCTCTTTTCTGTCTGTATTTTATATTTTTGTCTCTTTCTTTTCAACCCTCTACTCTTCCTTAATTTTATTTTCTTTCTTTTGTTTCCTCCTCCTCCTCCTCTTCAGTGGATGATGGATGGTCCGTCGGCCCCCTTCTCTTTATGTGGCATATAGGCTATGGTGCATAACTAGTATGTAGGTTACTGGTTGTTTTGGGTTAGTTCCACCCTCACAATATCCTATCGATCAGTGGAACCTGTGGGGGGGGGAGTTCGTTTTGGTGGGCAGGAATGGCAGTTGCCATGACAACGGCTTTGATTTGGACTTTTCTCTTTTTTAATGTTGTATGACACAGATCCAGAGGAGGCCTCAGCTGTTCGGGCAGAGCGAGCGTGGAATTCTAATCACAAATTATAACTGTAATGGAGAATTGTAGGTGTGCTTATGCAAATGTATCTGCATGCATAAATGAATACATGCTTTTGTTAGAATAGCACCTATTTTTATATTTTATTGAAGAAGAATGTAAGTAAAATGTGCATGCCTGTAGAAAATGAGCCTGTATGAGGTTATCAGGGAGTTGCTATATGGTTGCTTTTAGAGGTAATTCCCTGCTGGCAAGATGGGCTTTTAATAAAGCATTGCAGTCGCAGTACAAACATGTTTTTATATAAATTTGTGTTTTTAAATATCTTCTGTTGTATTCTGGATATGAATGAATGACATAAGGCTGAGTAAAGGAGAGAATTTGTCAGTTTTAAAGAGCTATCTCTTTAAAATTGCAGAACTTGAATAGCACAACAACCTGCTCAATTTAAAATATTATTCATGTCCGTACAGGGGCGTAGATTACGCGGGGGACGCGGGGGCACTTTTTCGGGCAAGTGTGTTCGCATAGAGGTTTTCAAGAGCCGGTGTGAATAAATATAGATTTAAATTCAAAGAGACAGGATAGTCTGTGCATGATCTGATGTTTTATTCGGACCCAGAATAAGGCGAGATGAACATCGCGGAGGGCAAAACACACATGCAGTGTATGTTTCATTCATACTCGTAGCCGGAGGGCGCTCTCGCGCAGAAAGTCGTATGAGGAAATTCCTAATATGGACAAAAGCGTCCAGCTATCGCTGTATGAAAACAGTTGTTTTCACAGAAAACAGAAACGTTTTATATATATAACATTTCTGTCCCCCTCACTTCTGAAATGATGGCTACGCCCCTGTGTCCGTATCACAAATGTTTCATTCTTAGGACTAGAGGTTTGTTCAAAGTATGAGAAGTAGGCCTAGTAATAGAACTGTCTAAACATGGCACCCAGAAGTATTTAAGACCCCTGTACTTTTTAAAGGGGTCATATGATGCGATTTCATTTTTTCCTTTCTCTTTAGAGTATTACAAGCTCTTGGTGCATAAAGAAGATCTGTAAAGTTGCAAAGACTAAAGTCTCAAATCCAAAGAGATATTCTTTATAAAAGTTAAGAGTTAGCCACACCTACCTAAAACGGCTCGTTCGAACACGCCCCCACATATCTACCTCACTATGTGGGAAGATATGCATAACGCCGCCCAAATGTTCACACAAAGAAAGAAGGAGTAACTTTTATTCTCGCTGTAATATTGTTGTTGCCGCTGCCGCCATGTCCTGAAGACCCTGTGTGCTTTTGTTAAAGCGAAACTACTCTGTATGGCCTT